CTGATGGTGGCATGAGTTGTTTGAGTCGCTGGGAACGGTACTTCTGCATTTTTGAAGTCGATAAAAATGATCGTCTTGACCAATAATATGGCAAAGAAACCATGATGCACTCTGATTGGTTAATAATTAGAAGTAAGGCCTGCCACCTTACGAATTCCACAAACAAGTCAACTCAGGCGTCCCTGCTTTTGAGGTTGTGTTATCCGGAAAAATTCACGTTTTAGCCAATCAGGAGTCGTATTTGCGTGGAAGCGTGGACGGGAATGTTCGCAGACCAGCCCCTAAGGGGCTGGTAAATGTCACCCCCAGGCGGTATACTAGTATTTCACACGTTGTTCAATATATTTCAAATGATGTTCCATCTATTTCGATTTTCGAAGCAAATCAAGTAAATCGCAGGTGGAGGATACTTGTCTAAATCATAGATATTGTGCTTTCGAGCTAAATTTGGTATTTTCGGTAGATTCGACGAACGACATCAAATCCACCTGAAATCGTCGAGCATCATTTTGCTTGAACTAAATATACTCACTGTGACTCCAGTCCAATACAACGTTGAATCTTTGTGAAATGGAGAAGCTTGGCGATGCACCGGATACGCCTGTAATTTGATTGATCCAAAGTTTTTTTTCGAAAATTTCATTGGCTACTTCGTTCCGTCGATTACTGCATCGATTTATCGAAAAAGATGGAACATCATTTGAAGTATATTGAACAATGTGTGAAATATATCGGCTGTGGGGTGACATTCAGTGGAAATATAATGCAACGAAGTTGGGTCTGGACGAAATATATCGAATGTTCGGCGAACATAACGCACATGGCGTGATTGTGCGTTGGACGAAATATACCAGAAATAACCTGAACTTAATCGAGAAATGGTGTACTAGTAGACTAGTACACCATTTTTCAATTGACTTGGACATTTTCTCGATGGATTCGGTTGATATACCATTGGATTGAGTGGCGTGCCCATTCGAATGAATGAGTGCCCAATGGATTTGGTACCCACGTTCGGTGTGCCCATTGGATTTGGCACGACCCCCTCGTGTGCCCATTCGATATGCCCATGCCCCTTATAGAATTGGTTTGTACCCAACCAAA